GAGACAGGGTCTCCCTGTAGCCCCAGCTGTCCTGGAACTCACTATGTAGACCAAGCTGGCCTTGAACTCACAGAGATCCACCTGTCTGTTTCTCCCAAGTGCTGGGATTAATTATTTCTTTTTTAAAAATATTTTATTTATTGTTTTTATTTTGTGTGTATTTTTGTATTGCCTGAATGTAGGTAAGTGCACCAGTGTTGTTTAATGCCCACAGAGGTCAGAAGAGGCTGTCAGATCCCCTGAGACTGGAGTTATGGACAGTTGTTAGCTGCTATGTGGTTGCTGGGATTTGAACCTGAGTGGTTTTTAACCACTGAGCCATCTCTCCAGCCCCTGGTTTTATTTCTTTTATTCCTCATTTTCCTCCTTCATGATTTTCACTTTCACTTTGCTGAAGCACATTCTGAAGGAACTTTCTCAGCATGGGTGCACCAGGGTGAACACTCTGAGGCCTGATTAATATTCTGGCTGCATCTAGAGCGGTCTGCGTCCCTATTCCCTATTGGCAATTTGGGTAACCCCTTCAGAGGGTGGTGTGATAAGAATAAGAGGTAGGAATTGGCTAGGCAGTTAGGGTAAAAAGACCCCAAAGAATGTAGCCAGTTTCTGGGCTTAAAGTCAAAATGTCCTTGGGCCTCTTAGCAACATACTCTGTTCCAAAGACCAAAAATGTCAAAAGTATTTGGAGCTTGCATCTAATCCTTAAAAGATTTTAGGCTTACCTCTTCGGCGGGGAGGATGTTGGAGGGGAGGGAGTGGGTGTGGATTTGATCAAAACACCTTATATGCATGTATGAAATTCTCAATAAAGTTTTTGTAAAAATTAAAAAACTGCTACAACAATATTCTGGCTGTGTCTAGAATTTAAGGTCAAAGTAACACTCCTGAAATTTGAGTATCCCTTCAATGTCTTGCATAATCACACTTGATATTACTAATGTTATCTAATGCTCTTTACATCATTCCCATCCTGTGGTTTGGATCTTCATCAGATATTCCGAAGCTCTGCTGTAATGATCTCTCCTTTATTTGGTACCTTTTTTCGTGGTATTCTCCTGAATTCATATCATTTCTCTAAGATTCCTCCAGACACTATGATTCTCTTCTTTTAAAAATTATTTTACATGCGATTTTTTGCCTATATGTATGTATGTCTACCACATGTGTTCAGTGCCCATGGAGGCCAGAGAGGGCATGGGATCTTTTGGAACTGGAGTTACAGGAGATTGTGAGCTGTCATGTGATTGCTGGGAATAAACCCAAACCTTCTGCAAGAGCAGCCAGTGTGATTCTCTTCTTTATTGCAGCTTCTTCCAGAAAGTTCTGAGCTGTAGAGTCCTTGTTTTAACAGACCTTCCCCCAAGTTTCCTTGAAGTGTTCTGGAATGTCTTAACCACCGTTGGTGCTCTGCCATCCCAAATCAGAAAACCTGTACTCTTAAGTACTGAATACATTTGCAATGGTTTGCATTTTTATACTTTGAAGGCTAGTTATTTATTTCTGAGACAGGGTCTCACCATGTAACCCTGGAACTTACTATGTAGACCTGGCCTGGAACTTACTATGTAGACCAGGCTAGCCTCAAACTCATAAAGATCCGCCTGCTTCTCCCTCCCAAGTGCTGAGATTAAAAGTGTGTGACACCATGAACAGAATTTCAGTAATTTATTTTATTTCCCCATAAACATAACCACCAAGGTGCAAAATAAATCTAATGTATTAGACAATTTAGAGCTATTGTAAGATGTCAGCATCTTCTCAGCCACACCTGTAACAAGCAGAGTACAATTCACACCTTGACTTCCAAGCTATGGTTCCAGCAGTTCACATACTTAACTGTACTCTTTCCATGGACCCCTTGGATCTGTCTCATGGAGAGGTAAGGGAGGTTAGCCGTTTTAAAATTCTCTCCATTTTAGTACTCTTTGGTTCTTGATAACTGCATTAGTTTCTTTTCTCATTACTATGGAAACGATACCCAAAAGAAGCAACTGAAGGGAATAAAGAGTTGTTGTGACTGGTGGTTTCAAAGGGTCTTATCCATCAAGGTGGGGAAGGCATGGGGGTGGAGGTGCTCAGTCTGCACAGGGGAAGTTTATGTTGGAGCTCCACACATGACATCTGGAGACCAGGAGCAGAGAAAGCCAGGCAGGACTTGAGTTGAACCATTAGCCTTCAAAGGCCTGTTGCTAGTAACCTAACTTCCTCCAACTAAGCGCCACACCTCAAAGGTTCCACAACTCCCGCAAACACTGTCATCAGCTGGTGGCCAAGTGCCCAACACAGGAGCCTGTGGGGGGCATTTCAGATTAAGCCATAGTAGTGACTGTCCCCTGGTATAGGTGTACCTTTCTCCCAAAAACGAAATTAATTATCACTGTTCCTTTCTTTTTACTGTGATACTGGAACTCGAGCCTACTCCGTGCACAGCAGGCATGCTCTCTATCACTGGGGTCCATCTATAGTCCTCATTTTTCCTTTCTAAGGGCTCACCTGGTTCTGCCCACAGGTTTCCTTGGCATCTGGTTCAGAGCATATGACAAGTGTCCTGAGGACGGGCCAGGGCTTTCCCTCCTCTGAGCCTTACCTGTTGTCCTTCTTATCTTCCTGACAGGGAGGACACTGACACGTTCAGAGCTTCCTTAGTGATTCCCAGCAAGGACAAGGCTGTCTTCCTCCTCAGCTATGAGGAGCTTCTGCAGAGACGGCTCGGGAAATATGAGCATACCATCAGCGTGCGCCCCAGGCAGCTGGTAGGGAGACTGAGTGTGGAAGTAAATGTTCTGGAGACATCGGGCCTCTCATCCTTGGAGGTTCTGCCTCTTCAAAATAGCAGGCAGAAAGGGAGTGGGAAGACAGAAGGTGAGTAACGCCTACGGAACGTGCTCAGCTCTTACTGGATACTCAGAACTGAACTTTGACTTCAGAGAAATCTGTAAAAGAAATAGTGCCCCTACACACACATACACACTCACGCACATGCATGCACGCATGCATGCATACATACATACATTAATGGGGGGGGCAACAGGGTCTCACTATATAACCTGGCTGGTCTGAAACTCACTATGTAGACCAGGATGGCTTCCAACTCTTAGAGATCCACCTGCCTCTGCCTCCTGAGTGTTAGATTTAAAGGTTGCACCCCAGGCTCAGTTTAAATGCATTTTTGACATAGTAGTCCCGCTCGGAGGAATTAATTCTAGGTAAAATATCTAAAGCATTGGGATGACATTCAGGAAGCTGCCTGATAATATGTATTATATGAAACATTCCATCAGTCTAAATATTTAATGATATAGAAGCAAATAGTAAAGTACAGCAATAAAAACAGGTTAGCAGAAAAACAGAAACAAAAACAAAAAACAAAACAGGTTAGCATGTGATAGCAGGGAAAATACAAAACACACCAACATATAATGTTACATATGTCTAGCACAACAGAAGACTAGAAAGAGATACAAAATAATGCTTTTCTATCAGAGGTGTAGGGCTACGGGCCTGTTTTATAAAAACCTGCTTTCGTGTTTTGTTTTGTGACACATGGGATGGAACGCAGGGCTCTGAAAATGGTAGGCAAGAGCGTTACCATTGAGTTATTCCACTAGTCTGGAAAAAAATCCATCTAAAAATATTCAACAATGTTAAATTAATTCTAAGAGTAAATAATGAAAAATGGGTTTGGAAGTGGCCTGGTGATGCACACACCTGTAATCTCAGCTACTTGGGAGGCTGAAGTAGGAGATTCTAAAGTTCAAGTTCAGCCTGAACTACATAGAATGAGATCAAGGTCTACCTGGGGAACATAATGAGACGTTCTCTCAGGAGGAAAAGAAAAACAAGAGCTAGGAATATAGCTCAGTGGTAGAACACTTGTCTAGCATGACTGAGGCCCTAGGTTTAATATCCAGTACTGAAAAAAGTTGTGTTCTGTTCCATAGATTTGATATAAAATACAGACATTTTGACTCATTAGAACCATTATATTTAGGTTTTCTTCAAATTCTGCTTGTTAAAATGGTGTTCCATTTACCGAAATGATTATGAAAAATTTAAGATGGTCTAAATGTAAGCATTATTAATTTCAAGCAATAGCTTATTCTAAATACATCTGTTGATTTCTATACTTAATACACTGGTATGGCTGAATGTCAAATAAAATTAAATAATAAAATAGCCATATTCAGAGGCTGGAGATGGCTTGGTGTTTAAGAGCACTGGCTGCTCTTGCAAAGGAACTGGGTTTGGTTCCCAGCACCCTCATGGCAGCTAACAACCATCCTTAGCTCCAGTTCCAGGGGATCTGACACCCTCTTCTGGCCTCCATAGGCACTGCATGACACAGATGCACTTACATTCTTACAAGCAAGACACTCATACACATAAATTAGAATAAATAAATCAAAACAAAAAGTTTTTTAAAAAATAGCTAAATTCAAACACCACAGTAGGATTGGAATGTAAAATTTTCAGGTAATTGTGATTTGAGAGCAGGAAAATCTTAGTGAAAAGTGGACAGGTGAAAGTTCATTATCTAAATTCAGTGCCAAGGAGTGTCCAAAGCCACGGGGAAGGCTTCCCGGCAGGAGTGCAGAGAGCAGGGAGATAGTCAGTGGGGTAAGAGAATGTGTATCAGCATGATGTAAAAATACGGCCTGGACTGGCATGTGGGAGCAAGCAGTGTGAAAACGCACCTTCTCACCCCGGCAGACAGGCTCACGAATGACTGTGGTAAAGCCAAATTCTTTCCTGGGAAGCCCACGCTCTGCACACTCTGGGCTCCCAGGCTCTGTGTGGGGCTCGCTGTAACCCCACCCCCACCCCCCATGCTGTCCTTAGACTGACCAACAAAACCGACACAATATATTCGATGTGTTGATGTCTTGGGATTGTCATACAGAGTTTATGAAGTCTGGAAGAGGGTTACTTACAAAGGCATATGCCCATGGGCATTTTTCCCTACATCTTGGCTGAGCTTTTCGGATCAGCCCACCAGAGCACTGCCAATATGGCAAACTTCCCACCACCGCCTCCCTGGCTTCCTCCCTGTCTGTCCTTAGACCCGCCCCTCATGCAATTGAAGCTGACCAATTGGGTGGGAGGGGTGTCTGTCTTCCTCTGTTTCTCCTGAGTCTCTTAGGGTTCAGACATTCAGCTGTTGTTAGTTCTTTTGGAGGACATGCCTATCCAACAGCTGTGTACAAACCCTCAAAGACTGAGGGTTCCCTGGCTTTGGAGAGACCCACACGCTTTGTTAAACGTTAGCTCCAAACACCAAACTTGACTCTTGCAGACCAGCTCTGACTGAGAAAGTGAAGCTGTTGTCAAAGTGCCTGGCATTCAGAACAGGCATGAGATACAGTCCTCCATTCTCACACCCTGTAGGTGGCTCATAGATATTTGTTCACCTATTGGTATAACCTGGAAGGAAATTACTGAAATCCTGTAAAACGGCTCTCCCACGTTTATAAAACAGGGGTAGGAACTGTCTCATAGAGTGATTGTGAAGCATCAGTGTTTGGGAACCTCTTGGCCCAGAGTAAGAGCTTAATAATTATCAAGTGTTTTTGTTACTATCATTATTATGATCTTTATATTTACTCTTTCACTCTGGAAGTCTTTTACGATCTTAAATGCCTCTGAAATTACGTCTGTGTCCAATTAACCTGTCTGCAGGATTTAACCCAATGCCTTTTAAACAGTGTACACTGTCAGTATAGTGTCTTCAAATTACAGAATAAAAGCAAACACGCAGGGAATGCTTTAAAATTTAGTCTCATGCTAATCATAATTTTAGAGGGAAGTTTTTCTAGGGACAACTGTGTGGAAGAAGTATTTACTCAGCAGAGGAAGAGTCTAGGAGTTCGTGGGATCTTATAGCGAGTGCAATGCCTGTTCAGTATATCTGGGATGAACACACAGGTTCAGTAATTGTGTCCTTGGGATGGTATGAGGGAATCTGAGATGGACACTTTGCCCAGTTTTCAGACTTCTGTTGTGGTGCCTGTGTTTGTGTGTCTGTTTGGACAGGGTATGAATTATGGCTGTTAGCTGAAGACTTGCTTACTGTTTATATTCGGGCTTGTTCGTATCTCCAAGGAATGTTTCCAGGTCATTGGTCTCTTTGGGTCTGTTTATTTTTAAGGCCGTTTTCCTAGCTCTTTGTGACAAAGCAGGCCCTCTGTCTTCCAGAGTGTGGAGGTTTCACAGGCACGTCCTCTACCAGGTGAAAGGGTGGATTCCTTTGCTTCCCCATTCCTATCTTTTCCAGCTCAGCTGGTGTCCCCGGGAAATGGTGACCTTGGCACTGAGGAGCACAGGGTGTTGAGATTTTTGTCTGGTCAGCCTTGTGTGTTTCCAAAAGAATCGAGATTGAACTCGAGTTGGGCTTGTACCAGAATGTGAGCTGTAACTGGGAGAACATGACCCAAGACTGGACATCCCTCTGGTAGATCCAGCTGTGGTTAAGAAATCAGATGTCTACAATTGGTCTAAGCACATCTCTGACTGTTGGTTCCATTTCATCTGTTTCTTTCTTTAATGATTAATTTTTCATGTTAGAACCAAAGTCATGGGTTGCATTATGGCACCTTCATACACACGTATCATTATACTTTGTTCTTATTTGTTACCCTCCCCAGCTACCCTCCCACGTGTTCCTGCCCCTCCCGCTGTTCCCGCTGTTCCCTTCTATCTGTCCAGATAGTCTCTCTGCTTTCTTACTACAAATATTCCATTACCCTCTATCCTTTCTAGCTCAATTAAGATCTTTCTTCTCTCACATCATTTCTTTCTAGTTTCATGTCTCATACATACATATGTAAACATACATACATACATGTACATACAAATGCAATTCTAAATCTAGACTTTGCATATAAGAGATAACATGCAGCATTTGACTTTCTTTCTTTCTTTCTTTCTTTCTTTCTTTCTTTCTCTTTTCTCTCTTTCTTTTGACAGGGTCTCTCACTATGTAGCCTTGGCTGGCCTGGAATGCTAGATTGGCCTCAAACTCACAGGGATCTGCCTGCATCTACCTCCTGAGTGCTGGGAATAAAGACATGGGCTGCCACACCTGGCCAGCATTTGTCTTTCTGAGCCTGGCTCATTTCACTTAACACGATGATTTCTATTTACACTCACCTTGAAGGATGTATCCTGTGTAAGCCTTGCTGTGTGTTAAGTGCCAGACCTAACATTTTTCATATAGTGCTACATTATTCAATCTTTATAGCAAACATGTTAGGTTATATTTTGTCATGCTTATTTTATTTATGAAAAAGCAAGCTTTGTATGAGTGTATTAATATATACAAGATCTCATATTTAATTATTAATAGAAACAAACTCTTAAGTATAGCTCTGACTCCAAGTTCATACTCTTAACCATTGTACTGTACTACCTTTTCATTAAATAAAAGATTCTATACTATAAGGAGTATGAATTAATTTCCAGGGATCTTCCCAGTGAAATATAGAAATATAAGAAAGAGGGTCTAGAGAGATGGCTCAGCAGTTATGATGGTTTGAATGAGAAATGTCCCATAGGCTCCAAGTATTTGAACACTTGGCCCCAGTTGGACGTGCTGTTTGTGGAGGTTTAGGAGGTATGGCTTGCTGGAGGAAGCATGTCACTGGGGTGGGCTCTGAGAGCTCATAGCCTTGCCCCACGTCCAGCTTGCTTTCTCTGCTGTTTATGTGAGTACGAAGATGTGAGTGCTAGATTTCTGCTCTGGCTGCCTCCTGCCACCATGCTTCCCCACCACTGCGGAATCTCCCTCTGGAACTGTAAGCCAAATAAGATGTTCCTTCTAAAGTTGTCTTGGTCATGGTGTTTTATCACAGCAACAGAAAAGGAAC